TATCGGAGAGAGCTGCGGGGTCGGAGAAGAGAAAAAAGGCGGCGGACGAGCGCAGACAAGCAACAAAAATTAAGTTTAACTAAAAATAACAAAATCTGTTTTTGTTCAATCATAGTCTATATGACTATGCCGTTCCGCGCCATATGGCGCGCTGTGAGGATAATTAAAATTTAGGCTAGTAGCTTAGGCTACTCCTAATTAGGCTAATGTTTTTTTTAAAGTTTTTTTTAAACAGGTCTATTAATTTATACAACTGAATTATAGGCCTATAATTAAAATTATTAACACTGCAGTCATCGTTGAAAATTAAGAGCAGCTTTATTTCGTGCACAGATTTTCAAAAACAACCTGTTTAACGCTAAATATGTTTCTTCTCATGTTTTTCACTATACGGGCCACAAGAGAAATATTAAGAGAATAATTTAAGACAGTTATATACCATCATCAGCCTATATTGAAGTAATTTTGTCTCTTGTTGTCTCAGAGAATATGCACCGTTAATGCAGCGTTAGAAATCTCCGTCAGTTTTTTTACTTTCACTTTCTCTATAGTGAATTTACTGAACGCTTGCGCAGTTTGCGCGTTGCTTGCTTGTGTTGCTTGACCCCACCCCCATAATATCAATCGTTTATAGGCCACATATTAGGCATTTTTTTAAATGTTTATTTTTTTTAATGTTAATGAAAAGTGACACCAAAAATAAGGCAACATCATTAGGAAATCTTTGGGGGGGCTGTGCCCGGGCTAAACAAGTTTCTGATGGGCCCCATCAAGCCCCGCCCTAGCGCTGCCACTGATTAGCCTAATTCGTTTTGGCTTGTTTAGCAACTTATATTTTTCATTCTTGTTTTCTTCTGAAACCGTTCAAATTTGCCTATAGGCTAGGTATTGTGTTTAATGTGGTGGGATGTGTTGACAACCCGTTCAGTCTGTACTTCACTCAGCGCGTGACATGTGAGGGCTCGCGCTCTTCAGAGACAATCACAGAATATGACAGAACTCGTGTTTAAAAGCAAAACACACTGGAATGAATAATTCACTGAAAACGCAATGCGAGTCTCTGTTCTCTCTGCAATCTCTGATGTAATCAGCCTGGTTTCCTTTATACTTACAACTCGGTGTTCGCACGCAGTCTGAAACGCAGAACTGAAGAGACGCTGCGCGAGATGTGGCTTGTGCACGCGCTTCAGGTGTGAGTCAGACAGCAAGACGAGACGGCAAAGAGTTGTTTTCTGCAACTTATTGCACTTAACTCTTTTCAACGTCAAACAATTCTCTGCTATATGCGTCAAACTAAAAATTTGACCTTTTGCAACATTTTGATTTAAGTAGCCTATTATTAAAATGATTCAGATATCGCACGCAATCCGTGTATCATTCATTTTTTTTATTTAATATTGAAAGTAGAAAAATGAGAAAACGGCTCCTTTTTCGTTTTTTCCAAAAAAAAAACAAAAAAAACACTGAAGTCACAATTCTCAGCCATTAAATTGGCAAGCGAGAGCAGGACATTTTTGTGTTAAGTAATAAGCCTTTAGAACAACATTAAGGTGAGTAGTGACTCTAGTTCACACAGTTCCAATAAACTGCGATGGGTTAAATAAACTCAATAAGCAGACAGACTACAGTTAAGCGCAGATCAGTATTGAAGTGCACAGGAAATAAGCAGCAGTCATATTTAAAGCAGTTTACATTCACTTGATGTTCACTTGGATTTTCAAAATTGTACGTTCAAAATAACTACAAAATGTCATGCCTTTGAAAAATAAAGAGAACAACAGAATGCACTGCTTTAGCGCGTCTCGCAAATAAATGTGTTAAGAAACCATACAACTGCAGCAGCACAGGACTATTATTCTGCTGCGTGATACTGTGGAAGAACTGATGATGGCATGGTTTGATCTTCGGCTGACCAATCAGCAGAAAGGGGTGTTTAATTCCCGCCCACGTGTAGAAATCCAATATTCAAGCGGTTTATTCATTTTTCCACCCATGAACGAAAAACGAAAATTTTGGGAAAAAACAAAAAAACGAAAAAGGAGCTGTTTTCTAATTTTTCTACTTTCAATATTAAATCAAAAAACGAATGATCGAATGATACACGGATTGCACGCCCTTGCGATATTTGCATTTGCGATATTTCGATATATCGTGCAGCCCTAATATATATGTATATATATACAGTGGTGTGAAAAAGTGTTGGCACCCTTCCTGATTTCTTATTTTTTTGCATGTTTGTCACACTTTAATGTTTCAGATCATCAAACAAATTTAAATATTAGTAAAAGATAACACAAGTGAACACAACATGCAGTTTTTAAATGAAGGTTTTTATTATTAAGGGAAAACAAAATCCAAAACTACATGGCCCTGTGTGAAAAAGTGTTTGCCCCCTAAACCTAATAACTGGTTGCCACCCTTTGCAGCAACAACTGCAAACAAGCGTTTGCGATAACTTGCAATGAGTCTGTTACAGCGCTGTGGAGGAATTTTGGTCCACTCATCTATGCAGAATTGTTGTAATTCAGCCACATTGGAGGGTTTTCGAGCATGAACCACCTTTTTAAGGTCATGCCACAGCATCTCAATAGGATTCAGGTCAGGACTTTGACTAGGCCACCCCAAAGTCTTCATTTTGTTTTTCTTCAGCCATTCAGAGGTGGACTTGCTGGTGTGTTTTGGATCATTGTCCTGCTGCAGAAACCAAGTTCGCTTCAGCTTGAGGTCACGAACAGATGGCCGGACATTCTCCTTCAGGATTTTTTGGTAAACAGCAAAATTCATAGTTCCATTTATCACAGCAAGTCTTCCAGGTCCTGAAGCAGCAAAACAGCCCCAGACCATCACACTACCACCACCATATTTTACTGTTGGTATGATGTTCTTTTTCTGAAATGCAGTGTTACTTTTACACCAGACGTAATGGGACACATACCTTTCAAAAAGTTAAACTTTTGTCTCGCCAGTCCGCAGAGTATTTTCCCAAAAGTCTTGGGGATCATCAAGATGATTTCTGGCAAGACTGAGACGAGCCTTTATGTTCTTTTTGCTCAGCAGCGGTTTTCGTCTTGGAACTCTGCCATGCAGACCATATTTTCCCAGTCTCTTTCTTATGGTGGAGTCATGAACACTGACCTTAACTGAGGCAAGTGAGGCCTGCAGTTCTTTGGATGTTGTTGTGGGGTCTTTTCTGACCTCTTGGATGAGTCGTCGTTGTGCCTTTGGGATAATTTGGGTCGGCCGGCCACTCCTGGGAAGGTTCTCCACTGTTCCATGTTTTTGCCATTTGTGAATAATGGCTCTCACTGTGGTTCGCCTGAGTCCCAAATCTTTAGAAATGGCTTTATAACTGATAGATCTCAATTACTTTCTTTCTCATTTGTTTCTGAATTTCTTTGGATCTCGGCATGATGTCTAGCTTTTGAGGATCTTTTGGTCTACTTCACTTTGTCAGGCAGGTCCTATTTAAGAGATTTCTTGATTGCGAACAGGTGTGGCAGTAATCAGGCCTGAGTGTGGCTAGAGAAATCCAACACTTTTTCACACCACTGTGTATATATATATATACACAAAAATATATATACACAAAAACAGTATAACAGTCTGGCGAGTAAACTAAAAAATGTACTAGCCAACGGCGATTCTTTTGCCAAGGTGTGCGTAAAGGGTTGTGTGTGTGCGTGCAAAAGTAAACAATCATAAACAATAATTTCAGGCTGCTGGGGCCAACAGGCACATAGCAGTGATTACACGTTGGCCAAGAAGATGCCACAAAATCCATGTTTCAATTATCTTTGGCTCTTTGTGTGCACTGAATACTTTATCATCAAAATATTTGGTACAATTTTCATTAAGGATAATCATTGGTTAACCGCAAGTAGATATGATCATTTAAGAAGTTACATTTACATAACTATAAAAAAAGTTCAACTAATAGTGAATACTAACAATGTCACACGACTAAGAACTGATGCTAATATTGCTGGTAGCTAATCTCTTACTAAAACTGGACCCATCCAATTATGCAGTCTCTTATGTGCTAGGGGCGGGATTATGTAATGGCTTAGAGAAAGAGAAAATACAAAATGTGGAAAAAAATATATAATGAAAACAAACTACTGAATGTGTTCGAGTCAAAATGAGTGATGGTACATGAAGAGCCTGGGGCAAAAAAACTAAATCATCCAACTAGTTTCCACAATGGAAACTCACCAATAAAGCCTTTTACATACACTGAATAACAATCAGTAGACAAAAAAAATAGGTAACAATGACAATAGAAACCTAAACAAAAACAAGCAATGTATAAACACAAATGATCACAAACACAAAGAATAACACATCAAGAGAGAACCAAATCGTTGTTTAAACTTTAAAGAAATAGATCACCCAAAAATAAAATTGATCATCCTGTATCCATAATATTGCTTTCTGCAGTGAAGAAGTGTCTTCATTTGAATCAGGAGAGAAATATGCACAGACAAAGCTTTTGACTTGCTACATTTCTCCAAATCTGTTCCTATTAAGAAACAAACAAATCTACATCTTAGATCTTAGAGGCCTGAGTGCGAGTACATTTTCAGCAAATTTTCATTTTTGGGTGAACTATTCCTTTAATTAACAAGCCTGCTAATTCAAAACACTATTAGATATCAGACAGGAAAGAATAAAAAAAACAGCTTGATGTTGAGACATGTAGATACAGCCAGCAGGTGGCGCAATGCTGACCCTGTATGTGTGTAGTCCCTCAAGACTGAGAAAAGGCGACAAGGCCTTCAGTTGACACATTAAACATGCCACCTCTTATGCCAATCAATGGGCCTTACATTTCTTTAAACATTTTATTATGCCTTCCTAAAATTTGCCCATCACTGATTGGCCGATATTCCCATCCTTGTTCAATAGCTTTGAGGTTTCATCAATGAAGGTGTAGTCACCATCATGAAGCACTTGTGGTGTATGAATGTATAATTTATTTGATCATTTATTGAAAAAATGGAGCTGTAGGTTTTATTTTACATGCAACAGCAAAGAAACCATATGTATTATCTTTGTAGAATTTTATGGTTCAATCTTTACATATTAAATTCGTACTGAAAACTCTGGTATAGCATTTCTTAGATTTAGTAGCTTTAAGTGAACATTTTATGATTTATTTATAATATGAGCCAAAAAAGAATAGGATACAGTGAATTGTGCTGTGTATGAAAAATTGTGGCTATAGAAAGACATCCACACAGCACGAGCATGTACCTTTATGTGTATGTGAGTGTGTGCAGATAGAAGATTGCTGGAATGAGGAAGAGTATGTGAAGACGCAGCATGTCAGGACAGAATCCCCGGAAAGCAGAAGAGACCAAAGTTACCTCTGTTTCTCCTTCTCATTACCTCTAACTACCTCTTGTAGCCCCAATTTCTTCTCTACCTCTATATAAAGAGAAACTCCCTCGGTTATTCTTTTTATAACCTCTATAACTCTCTCTCTTAGCCCTTCTCACCCTATTCTAATTCTTATTGCCATTACAAATATCTGTGGATTTTTTACTGCTAAAGCATTTGAAGAAACGAAACAGGATTTAAATTAGTAAAAAAAAAAAACATAATATATAATATTCATATTGACTGACATTTCAATTGACAAGGGTAAAGGGGTGACTTTAATAAATAAATAAAAACCTGATAGAAATTAACAAAAAATGAATCAAACAAAAATAAGAGCATTTCGAAACATAAAACTTTTTTCCATCTCTTTTCACCACTCTTCTTCCATTCTTTTAGGCGCGGTACGCCCGCAGTGTGAGTGCTAACCGCGCCAGAGCATGGAACAGATACTATTTTGTGTGTGCTTCTGTCATCATTACGACCGCAAACATATTCTATTACTACTACTACACTACACTTTTCAATTAATTTAATTCAATCAAGTATATTTAGGTTTATAATGGCTCTGTTTCTTACCTTATTGATGAACAGGAAATGTAGTTTGCGAGTAAAGCTGCAAATTATTTCGTTAACCTCAGCTGCCTCTGTAATAATTTTCTGATACATACAAGTGAAAATCAATGCACGGCATTAATGATAAATTAATTATTAATTATTCTGCAAAATATTATATTAAATATATAACGTTTTCTCCATTATCTCATACATGACGTAAGCATGCTCCGGCCCGGAAAGTTTAGTGCAAGTGTGAGTACAGGCCAGCGGAGGAGTAGGGAGGGGGGATAATCATGCTCGGG